GCTAAAAGCTAAAAAGCTACATGCAAAAATATCACTATTTAAAATCAAAAGACATATCTGGTACAAAGTAAATAGAAAGCGTTTAAATTCTAAACTAAAAATGAAACTGTTCGTTTGAAAATAACGAAATAAGCAACCGAAATCGGTAGGTCAATAAAGTCTAATTTAGTTTGTCAAAGTGAAAGGCTTGTCTTCGTCTGACGATTCAAACCCACGCTTGGTGCGTCATGAAGCTACGTGTTGACTCTGTTAACTTGAATGAGTTATCGGTGGAAGTCGACGATTTGTTTAAGTGTTTATTGTCATGTTAAACTGTCCTCCGTGAAAAAGTGCTCCACTGAATGGGCCTGCTGCAGGGAAACTAGAACTTTTCATGAATGAAGATTCACGGCACTAGCTCGGTGCCCACTGCACTTTGTAAACTGGCCTTTTTTCTATAGACGTACTTGTTGTATTTCCACTCAGAATCAAAGACATGTTTTTCTGTTGTTCGTTTGAGATAGCACTGTAATTCACTGATATATTCATTAAGCTCTTCTGGCGGGATTTCCTCGACTCTTCTCCTTTCATTTTTGGAGTTGAGAAACTCAGTAGGCAAACTTACATTTCTTCGTGCCTTCGAAATAGTTTTTCTGTTTTTTTTGTTTTTTTTTTTGGTCTTCGATAAACTTGTATAGGTTTGTCTAGAGACACAAATCTTCTTGATTGTTTAGCCATCCTCACAAATATCTCCTAGCTCTTGATTAGATAAGTTTAATTTCAACTACGAAGAACTTGAATACACTGAAAATATTTGAAAGCTGCTCGACAAAGCTACCSGCGATGACCGCGAAAACACGATTCGYCTCAACAGTGGTTTGCGATTGGACGAAACACTTTTTTCACGCTTGACAAATCGTTTCACCACTCTGATTGGCTAAAAAAAGTCGCGAACTTGTTTTTCACACAATGAAATTTGATAAGAAAATCTCAGTATGTATAAAATAAATGCAGATTATCTTGAAAACAAGCTCGGGACATCCAAGTTTTCTTTTCATATTTGAAATTAGACTTAAACTTAACTTTTAAAATTCGTAGTTTTTAAAAAAAAAAGTTAGAATTCTTTCCAAAAGTAGCCAATCACCTTAAGGACGTTCATGAGAATTGTTTGTGCCATCCTTTCTACGCCTGAATTAGGTGAAGTCATCGTGATGACGTCATTACAATGTTTTGATAAGCAAAATATCATAAAAACGTCTTTAATCTCTTTTAACTCTAAAATGAAGTCGGGCACCTCCTTTTTTATTTCGTTTTTTGAAAGTACTCGGTAATATTTAAAAAATTAAAAAATCTGAGGATGGGTCAAATCGAGATTACATATTTTGTGTATAATTGAATTAGAATTTCGCGTAACTCGAAGGCTTCCAGTCCACACTTGTAGCCCAATAAYATTTTATATTTCTAATTTTTAAAACAAATTTCAAATGCCAACTAGTTATTTGGTTATTTTCTAGTCTTCCGTGAAAAATGGGGACGACCAATTTAGTATTTTTTCATTAAAATGTGACTTATTTTTGACAGCTTTACATGTTTACCTTGTTCGCGGGTGTTTACCGTAAAAATGGTGAACTTCCACGTATTCTGACGACTAAACGAAGTCAGGACCCCCATTTTCTTTCATCGTGCAAAATCTTTTAMAAATCTGACAATGGGATTTTATGTCCATGAACGTCCCTAACCAGAGCCTGCGTTTCTTCTGGCCTGCGACGAAGAACGAGGGCTTTGGCATAATCCATTTTTTTGATGCATGCGTAGTTTTCCGGAATTTAATTTCCAAGTATTGCGGATGAAATTTACGAAACATCAGCATAAAATCTTTAAAAATTGTCATTGTAAACCTCAAATATGAGAGTTTTGCTAAAAATCTCATTTTCGCCGTTTTCTCCAAAACGACTCCAAGTTTTTTTCTTTAGACTTCCTACATCAATGGACCAGGAAAGCTTGATCTAGGATTGTGCGGAGAAAAAACTTTGGAGAAAACAGTTTTTAAAGTGAGGTGTACCTAGGTGTACCTTCCTTAAGTTCGGAAGAATATTTGCATAACGACTCCTTCAATGTCATTGTGTTTATGCAGATATTCTGCCGAACCTGTCCCGAAGTTAACCGCGTGGAATGTCCAAGAGCATTACTGTCGATCGGTATCAAATTAATTATTTCTAGTRGGGTGAGCTCTCAGTCACAAAAAGAAGGCGTCAATATTCGGTCCGTGCTTTCTTTCGACAGGTGTGTTACAAGACAGAAAACAGGCTTCTGAAGGAAATCAAGACTTGAATAAAGCGAAAAACGCAAGTTTTCGCAGTGAACGTGAGTACAGAGCGATACATGTTATCAGTAAAACTACTAATGAATAATATTTGAAACTAGTTGATTCAAGAAATGCACATTTGACTTTGAAAAATCTCAAAAAGAGTGTTCCACCGACATTTCAGTCAGAATGCAGAAAAGCCGTGCTCATTGTTAGGTATGGCAACCTTGGAGTATTTTCAATTTTTAATTTTCCTTCCTTGATATATTATTGGTAGTATTTTCTATGTTCATATTTATTTGAATCTTTAAAGAGTATGATCTTAGTAATTTCATAATATTTTACTAGGACCCTCTTATGACTATATCGACTATTTTTTTTATTTATTATGTATATTTAGATATTTGGAAATTTTATCTTAGTTCGCATAAGAATAGCTAAATATATGTCGCGTTTTGTTAATTTTGTCAATGGTGTAACAAAAAGTTATACATTTACAATGCTTTCTTGTGTTAAACCATAGAATATATTACTCGTCCGTGTTTACTAAAAAATTCAATTGACTCGTTGGGATATTCCAGAGTCAAATAGGTCACGTGGTGCATGTTAGAATATTAGGGCGAAGCCCTATTTCTAATGTTTGATGTATGTTTGAATTTCGATGGAAAACCTGTCCCTGTTAGTAACAATCAGTTCAAAACCCGGCAAAGGTCTTCCATAGAATTTCATTCAAACCCGACATCAAACRATAGAAATAGGGGRTGTTTGGTTTTWACAAAYAAGTGGCAGTGAAATACACATACCAAAAATTGACCTTTCAAGCACGACATTTGCTCTGGTTGTCTCCTATTATGCAAATCTACAATATCACTCCATTCAAAACAAATTTCGCARTCATAGTCGATCGTTTCTCAAATCGTGTAAATTAATAAGGCGACAAGAGTTAACTCCACAAAAACCTTCAAGCAATCGTATCTACATGCTTTTAATCCCCATAAAAGCAGGGTTTTCTTATGGACTATGTTTCCATCGTCGGTTTTCAATCATCTTCATTTACCAGAACCTCCGACAAACTAACAAGCAAACTAAACGAATACGTAAACAAGATACTATTTGTTGTAAGCGAAGAACAGTGCTTYGAAAAAGTTGCAAAATGACAGGAATTTTTTTGCGCCCAACCGAAGTTTAATATCCCACCGAAATCGTCAATACATCCCAGTATCTCTTATGAACCGAGTGTAGATTAGTCATTTCGTGATTGCCAAAATAAATTTGAAAGTTTACTTCGCAAACGTACGGAAGCTTCTAGGGGACATGCGAGATGCGAGTTGACTAAAATGCGACATGCGACATGCATTACTTTCAACTCGCATGTCACATTTTAAACAACTCGCACCTCGCATTTCAAACAACTCGCATCTCGAATGTGCCCTAGAMGCTTCTGTAAGAAGCCAGTGGTTTCTGTTGTATTAGTTAATGATTAAGTACTTAATGTATGGCGCATGCGTGTAGAATAAAATAAAACATGGAATAAACATAGAATAAAACATGGCCGATGGACAGTTCAACCCAGCGTAGTTGTTCTTAGTTCCATCTTAGTAATCTCGAGCAATCCTTCGGTATAAGGATCAAAACAGTTTCTTTCGTTGACGTTTTCTAGCTCATCCGCTCTTGAAGTATTCATATTTCAGTAATATTTCATCCTCACTTTAACTTGAATTATCATCATCATCATCATCATTATTATTATCATTATTATTATTATTATTATTATTATTATTTTATATTTTTATTACGGTAAGGACCTGGCGCTCGGTTAATAAGAGCCTATATATGTATATGCTGTGCCAATAATGATGACATTTTGCTCATTTTTCTCTATCTCTTATTTGCAGGTACCTTTGATAGATCCAAAAAGACACAATATGATATTATTCTAGTAGAAGTTCCTAAAGAAAGCATTCCGGAATCTGTTGGCGCCATGATATACTTTACCGGTTAGTGAGTAAGTGTGTGTGTGTGTGTGTGTGTGTGTGTGTGTGTGTGTAAACAGATGATTTATCATCACTCTAAATTGCAACCTTCTTATTAGCGATATGCGATGAAGCATTGGTGCACRTCATTTCTCTTTTTCATTTTTTATTGGTTGGGCTACTTTTGAAAGAAATTCGATTTTTTGCAACTGTAGGCCGACTCTCGATTTTTACAGACAGTCGCTCATTAAAGCATCGGTTCCTGCTTACCAGCTTTCATGATGATGCAGTTTTSCCCTGAAAAAAAGTACATGGAAATCTCCAAAATTTAAAAGTTAAATGAAAGAAATCCATCGTAATTTTCACTAAACCTGATAACGTGTTGAATTATCTGTAGTTATC